GGATCAGCTTTTCGGATCGTTTTCGGATTAATATTTCATTGGTCAAGTATCAATAAAACAGTTAAAAACACTGTTTTACAGCAACATTTTTGATATTCCTAGTCCCTACCTTGTCTGTCTTGTCTGTTGCTAGTACACTCGTTTACTAGATTCGTTTCGTATCCGCGTATTCGTATCCCTCGGATAATAATAAAATAAATAATAATAATAATTTGCATAACTATTCGATACATAAGGGCCATATGAAAATTGAACCACTAAAAAAGATGTAATTTAAGTAAAAGGGAACTTTCTACTATACCCACCATGCTATCTGACCCGAGCGAGCCACCTGGTGGTGAAAGTGGTAACTACCTACTCGCATTTGCGTTATTAATGGGTACCTGTTTCGCAAATCCTTCATAACAACATCTTGATTCACAAGGAAGCTCTCAGTTCACTTCAGTGTTCAGTCCCGTAGCTAGGAGGGGGGGGGGGAGCGGAGCGGAGCGACCCGGTTATATGGAGATAAGTTTTGGTATCTTGAAATGTGTCTTTTTAGGGGAAGTGTTAAAATGTTACACTTTTGGCAAAAAGTATTAATTTAATCATGATGTAACCCCTCACCTGTTTTTAAACAAAAACTTGTCTTTACTATTCAGAGTTTCCTCGAATCTCTGTTCTCAGGGTAATGTCTAATTTGATTTGGCCATGTATATTTTCAACTAGAAAATAGATAAGACTTTATATTTCAGGGTTTTGGAAATAGATTCAGAAATATACAGTAAAACCTGTCCAAGTGGAACACCTTTGGTACACCTTTTGTAGAACACCCTTGGTACACCTTTTGTAGAACACCCTTGGTACACCTTTTGTAGAACACCTTTGGTACACCTTTTGTAGAACACCTTTGGTACCTCTAAATGATGTTCCACTTCAAGGGAGGTGTTCTACTTACAGAGGTTCATTTATCATTAATTCAGTTGGTCTTAGGACTCTGAAAAGTGTTCTACTAACATAGGAGGTGTTCCACTTTACAGGTTTCACTGTATTTGATATATAAGACTTATTGTAAACAGATTACATTGTTGTGAGATTTTAGAAATAGGCTGAGGTATTGTTTTATAACTATTTTTGTAACTTATGATTTTTGTGTTTTTTGAATTGTAGAGTGGTATACATTGTGACTGTACAGATTCATGAATATAGTGTTCGTTGGGATTTACTACTCTGTGGAGTTGCTGATTTCTAGTTAATTTGCTTAGAACACGGTAACACGGTACTTTTGTACTGAGATACCGTGACCAGCTTCTTTCATGTTTTAAAAGTACAATTTCAAGACATGATATCTATGCCGGTGTCAATATATCAATGCAAATAGAATGTTAACTACCCTGAGGTAATCTGCTAGAAAACTAGCCTCTGACTTAAATCAATGATTATACATTTGCAGAACTAGGCTGATTGATACATGTATATTTGTTTTTCTTCTGACACAAAATTATGTCTCAGTCATGATTCAGACCAATGATCAGTTTTATGTAAGATATCACAAGTGATGACACATTGTTATAGTCTTCAAGTTTTTTGGAAGGTGTTCAGCATTTGGCAGTTGGTGTTCAATGGTTGGTGTCTGTAACATATGGCAGGTGGCTATATTTTTCATGATGATTGCTTGTTGTTATTTTTGTATCAACATATATCTTGAAGAGCTTCTGGGTGTTGTATTAAAAAAGTTGGACTCTGATATATTAGAATATTAGTCTCATATATTTGATTTGTTTTATCAGAGGTTATCTGTATCCTTAATGACCCTGAGACAAAACATGGTGAAGTAATTTTCTCACAGCCTCATTTATAAAGGCTATATTGAAAACTGTCCTGACTTTGAAGAGTATAGATGATAGATGAAATCAAGTTATTCCAAAGGGTATTGTCCAAGTTGAGTGATCTCTTAATGAAATTATTATGGTGAACATAACAATCAGATTACTTTAGAGCCATAAATCATATTTTTCATACTTTATCATAAATCTGAAGAGTATAGATGATGGATGAAATCAAGTTATTCCAAAGGGTATTGTCCAAGTTGAGTGATCTCTTAATGAAGTTATTATGATGAACATAACAATTAGATTACTTTAGAGCCATAAATCATCTTTTTCATATTTAATCATAAATCCGAAGAGTATAGATGATAGATGAAATCAAGTTATTCCAAAGGGTATTGTCCAAGTTGAGTGATCTCTTAATGTAGTTATTTTGATGAACATAACAAGTAGATTACTTTTAAGCCATAAATCATATTTTTCATATTTAATCATAAATCCGAAGAGTATGGATGATAGATGAAGTCAAGTTATTCCAAAGGGTATTGTCCAAGTTGAGTGTTGTCTTAATGAAATTATTATGGTGAACATAACAATCAGATTACTCTAGAGCCATAAATCATCTTTTTTCATACTTTATCATAAATCTAAAGAGAATAGTATAGATGATAGATGAAGTCAACTTATTCCAAAGGGTATTGTCCAAGTTGAGTGTTCTCTTAATGAAGTTATTATGATGAACATAACAAGTAGATTACTTTATAGCCATAAATCATCTTTTTCATACTTTATCATGAATTTGAAGAGTCTAGATGATGCATCAAATCAAGTTATTCCAAAGTGTATTGTCCAAGTTGAGTGTTCTCTTAATGAAGTTATTATGATGAACATAACAATCAGATTACTCTAGAGCCGTAAATCATCTTCTTTCATACTTTATCATAAATCTGAAGAGTCTATATGATAGATGAAGTCAAGTTATTCCAAAGTGTATTGTCCAAGTTGAGTGTTCTCTTAATGAAGTTATTATGATGAACATAACAATCAGATTACTTTAGAGCCATAAATCATCTTTTTCATACTTTATCATAAATCTGAAGAGTATAGATGATAGATGAAATCAAGTTTTTCCAAAGGGTATTGTCCAAGTTGAGTGTTCTCTTAATGAAGTTATTATGATGAACATAACAATCAGATTACTCTAGAGCCATAAATCATCTTTTTCATATTTAATCATAAATCCGAAGAGTATAGATGATAGATGAAATCAAGTTATTCCAAAGGGTATTGTCCAAGTTGAGTGTTGTCTTAATGAAGTTATTTTGATGAACATAACAAGCAGATTACTTTAGAGCCATTAATCATCTTTTTTCATACTTTATCATAAATCTAAAGAGAAGAGTATAGATGATAGATGAAGTAAACTTATTCCAAAGGGTATTGTCCAAGTTGAGTGTTCTCTTAATGAAGTTATTATGATGAACATAACAATCAGATTACTCTAGAGCCGTAAATCATCTTCTTTCATACTTTATCATAAATCTGAAGAGTCTATATGATAGATGAAGTCAAGTTATTCCAAAGTGTATTGTCCAAGTTGAGGGTTCTCTTAATGAAGTTATCATGATGAACATAACAATCAGATTACTTTAGAGCCATAAATCATCTTTTTCATACTTTATCATAAATCTGAAGAGTATAGATGATAGATGAAATCAAGTTTTTCCAAAGGGTATTGTCCAAGTTGAGTGTTCTCTTAAAGAAGTTATTATGATGAACATAACAATCAGATTACTTTAGAGCCATAAATCATCTTTTTCATACTGAAACATAAATCTGAAGAGTATAGATGATAGATGAAATCAAGTTTTTCCAAAGGGTATTGTCCAAGTTGAGTGATCTCTTAATGAAGTAATTATGATGAACATAACAAGCAGATTACTTTAGAGCCATAAATCATCTTTTTCATACTCAAATTTTATATGCTGATACCTAGGGACACGAGAGCTCTGGTCAAGAAGAAATTTTCAAGATGGTGGCTGAATTTCAAAATGGCCACATTTCTTTGTAACAGAACGTAATCTTTGAAAACTCAAATACCAGTTGACAGATTTGGTTCAAATTTTGTATGATAATGCCTAGAGATCATAAAGGAGCTCTGTTTAAGAAGAAATTTTCAAGATGACAGTTGAATTTCAAAATGGCTGCCATTTTTTCATAAAAAAAGTAATCTTTGATAACTCAAGTACCAGTTAACGGATTTGGTATTATATATGCTGATACCTTCCTAGGGACAAGGAAGCTCTGTTCAATTTCCAAGATGGCAACTATTTATCAAAACTTTTTTTGTTCAGTGGGATTTGCTAATCTGTGAAGGTGCCAATTTTTAGTTTCAGTATGAATATTGGAATCTTGGGATATGAGTTCACGATTGCTTGAAAACTTGATTTTTCCAGCCTGACGTTTCACCAGAAACTGGTGTTGTGAGGATTTCCAGTGAGAATTCTAAAATCTGTCAAAAATTATTGAACTTTCTCTGTTATACTTAGAGATTATGTGTAATATGTGACGAAATTTGAATTTCCATCATAGTGATCTGCAATTTTGTGATCGTTTAGACGTAAGGCATTACTTAGCCTTGTCGCTGTCTGCCATGTTTAAAATTTAAGAATGCAGAATTTGAGATTACATGTAGAATTCCAAGCTGAATTTTACTTTTTTTCTCATGGGAAAGGAGAATGTATTTAATTTAAGAAAATGAATATCATTGGTCACACATTTGTTGTTATATGATCTTTGTAAAAAGACAATTGTTCCATTGGGAAAAAAAAGTATATGTGTCCCTACCCTATTCAATTAAATATTAAAGAAAATGAATATCATGGGTGTAACTTTTTATAGCCTTAGTAGAAGACTCTTGTTCATATATGCTAAAGCATGAGGTCATGTTTTAAGTATAAAACAAACTTCCTTGTTGCTGAGTACATGTACAGTGGTATTGTATAAAATATATCCTACTTAAAATAAAATTCAAAGTTAAATATGAAAAGAACTCAATATGCTCACAGTGCTATTCATAATGTAGATTTCTCATAGAAATTATGTTAGCTGAATTCATACATTTTATCAATAGTTAACCTTTTTGAAGTCTGCCATTCTATCAGAACCTTTGGGCACTTCCATGTTAAGATAGGATGTTGAGAATAAGAGGACTTTTCAGACAATCCAAAATTCAATCATAATGCCAATGTTTAACAGTTTTCGCAACTGGATTTAATCTCTGAAAGTGGACATCTATAAAAACAAGTTAATGTTTTTAATCTATAAGTAGTTAACCTGTCTTCAGGCTTACTTTAAAGATTATTACATGCAGCACTTCATGATTAGAAAAAATGGCAATGGCAAGAGCAACATTTGATACTTCTGGAAAATACAAACCGATTCATCCAGGTTATGCAAGACTGACAGAATTTGTTAATGTCACAGCTGCGAAAGTGGACATTTTCAGTAAATACACAGATGTAGAGCTGGAACATCATACAAAATACATTATGGACTTTGTCAGGTTAATATGTTCTGGTTTTGGGGAATACAATAAACTATTCAAGACCAAGGAGCCAATCCCCAGAGGCAGTTATTTTGATAAAACAAAGATCATCAGTCCAACAGAGTATGACTTTCTAAATCCATTATCTCTGTCTGATGATGCCTCAGTTCAAGTATGTGATGTAAGTGATGACTGTGGCTTAGCAGGACATGGATATGGAGTTGTTAATATTCACCCTGGACAACTGCAGCAACAACTACTTGATCTTTATTCAACGGAAGATTATGATGAATATGATTGTGACTCTGATGATGATTATGTTCTTATCAAGCATCCTCCCTATGAAGTAATTCTTCATTCCTCACACGATTCCCTTGGTGCTCCTGGTGATGTCTACTGGTTGACAACAAATATAAGTGAAAGTCTCCATACTGAAATGCACACCTACTTAGAGAACACTCATGGTTCACATTACATTGGCGAGAGATATCATAAGTATGAACAGCACCCTAGCTACACACTGGGGGAATTCTCCATGCATGAAGATCTACATGGCCCTAGTGTGTGGCTGAGGGTGGGGGGACCATTAGGCACCACAGACATAGATCTCTGTTTCTGTATACGGGGAACACAGGGATCTGTATTGGTACCTATAGATTTATATTGTGATAAGTGTCCTTCATATATCCACTGGACTGAATCAATAGTGGAGCCTCAACATCCTGGAGCCCCTGATCACCAGTTACACAATCCTACTGGACATCATAAACAGCTTTTTCTTGTATTGAAATACATTTCACATCTGTATAGCAAGATCTACTGGCATATCTACAATGCGCGCTCACATCTCATCTCATCCTACTCATACAAACTCCTCATCATGCACCATCAGAAACACTGCACAGGATCTGACTTTTATATAGGAAGATGTTTTGAAGATGTAGTAGAATACATATTCAATCAATTTAGAGGAGATGATGATGATTCAGATCTATACAGACTATATAGAGAGGACATTTATCTACCAGATACATATTACCCTGATAGGGAGGTGAGGGTTGTGAATGGTTATTCCAACAGGATGGAACTTACTGTACTACTGTTTATGTTGAAACATGTCAAACACAGCAATGACACACAATGGTGGCAGAAACTACTGGATGATGAGTTCCCAAACAATGTCTCAAGTGGTGATGTTTTATTTCAATCCTTGTTAGATTTAGTCAAACATGTGTGGGATGCATTGCTACAGGGAGAGCTAACTGAGCACATAGATTGGCAGCATGAGGATGGCACAAGGACACATCTCACAATCACCAGATATTAGATGTCTAACAATACCAGAACAATGAAGTGAATAATATAATACACAGCACTGGAATTACTTCATTCAACATGAATAACATTTAATATAAAGCATAATTTATTAATAAGAATAATCACCAGCTATATACTGGGATAAACTATATACTAATTTTAGGATACTATATTATACATAAATGATAACTATACATGTCAATATATTCTTACGCACTAACAACAGGATATACTATATATATAAACTATTATACATTGACTATTGTTGAAAGGTTTTGAATATGATACACCCGGTTATATGGAGATAATTTTTGGTATCTTGAAATGTTTTCTATCTAGGGACAGTGTCAAAATGTTGACAGTTTTGGCTAAAATATTAATTTAATCATTATGTAACCCCTCACCTATTTTAAAACAAACAAAAAATGTTTTTACTATTTGCTTTCCATGTTTACTTTGATTTGGCCACGCTTAGTTATCCCAATGAATGAAGTTCAGTAGAGATATAGTGAAGCCCTCCGTCCGTCCGTCAGTCTGTCAGTCCGTCAGTCAGTCCGGAAGATAACTCGATTACTAGTCGACAGATTTTCTTCATATTTGGTGGAAAGATGTATATTGGTGAATTGTTTTACGCAATGAAATTTTTTTTTTAAGATGGCCGCCAGTTTGAAAAAAGCGGGAATTTTTCGCAAAAATCTTATGTTTTTCATTTTTAACCAAAATAATAAATATTATTATTTGAAATTTTGGTAGTATATTAACAACATCTATCTTTTTCACATATGTCCCGGGGTTTTCACCCTGACCCCTAGGGTCCATAAATGGGGGGGTTGGGAAAACAGGAATTTGCATTAATTTTGAGATATTTTTGAAGTATAGATTTATTATACTCAAATGAAAGGCAATTTAGGGTAGATTGCAAATGTTGTAGCGTTTTTCTGATTTGGGCCTCAAAAATTCAAAATGGCCGCCTCATGCGGGATTTCGCAATTTTTTTCTGATCTCTTAAAAGTATGGCTATATTATACTTAAATTGAAGGAATTTCAGAGTATATCACAATTATGGCATTGTTTTTCTGATTTGTGCCTCTGAAAATTCAAAATGGCTAACTAGAGCAGAAATTCAGCATTACTTAGTTATCTTGAAAGTATGGTTACATTATACTACAATGATCTAAAATATTTATTGATGGAAAGAGTAGATGGTAAATATTACATTGTGACTGTACAGATTGATGATTTATACAGTGTTCATTATCCCAACGAACGAAGTTCGGTAGGGATATAGTGAAGCCCTCCGTCCGTCTGTCCGTCCATCAGTCAGTCAGTCAGTCCGTCCGTCCGTCTGTCCGGAAGATAACTCAAATACTATGGATTTTCTTCATATTTAGTGGAAAGATGTATATTGGTGAATAGTTTTACGCAAAAAATTTTTTTTTCAAGATTGCCGCCACTTTAAAAATGACCGGACTTTTTCGAAAAAATCATAAATTTTTCATTCTAAACCAAAGTAATTGATATTATTGTTTGAAATTTTGGTAGTATATTCACAACATTTATTTATTTCACATATTTTCCGTGTTTTTCATCCTGACCCCCAGGGGCCGTGTATGGGGGGGACAGGAAAACAGAAATTTTGCTAATTTTTAGATCTTTCTGAAGTATAGCTTTATTATACTCAAATGAAAGGCAATTAAGAGTAGATTGCAGATATTGTATTTTTTTCTGATTCGAGCCTCATAAATTTCAAAATGGCCGTCTAATGTACAATTTCGCAATAATTTTTCGATCCTTCAAAGTATGGCTATATTATACTCAAATTGAAGGAATTTTGGAGTAGATCACAATTATGGTATTATTTTTCAGATTTGTATCTCCGAAAATTCAAAATGGCTGCTTTGCAGGAATTCGCAATTCTAAAATCTATTTTTTCAATTTTAACCAAAGTAATGAGTATAATTGATTGGAATTCGGTAATTGATATTTTGTTCGTTGGGATTTGCTACTCCGCGGAGTTGCCGTTATCTAGTTGGGATTTGCTACTCCGTGGAGTTGCCATTTTCTAGTTTAGACTAGAAAATAGATAAGACTATATAAAGTGGAATATTTTAGAGCTTTGGAAATAGATTCAGAAATATACAGTAAAACCTGCCTAAGTAGAACCCCTTTGGTACCTCTAAATGGTGTTCCCACTTCAAGGGAGGTGTTCTACTGATAGAGGTTCATTTATCATTAATTCAGTTGGTCTTAGGACTCTGAAAAGTGTTCTACTAGGATAGGAGGTGTTCCACTTTACATGTTTCACTGTATTTGATATGTAAGACTTATTGTGAACAGCTTACATGTTTGAGATTTTTGAAATAGGTTGAGGTATTGTTTTGTAACAATTTTTGTGTTTATTGAAGAAAAGAGTAGATGGTAAATATTACATTGTGACTGTACATAATCATGATTTAGAATGGATCCAAACTTCATTCCTTTGTATTAGAATTAAAGTGTGGAAAATCTAAGTGAACATTATTCTTTTGTCCTGAGAAAAAGTGATGAGCTCAATGTATCAATGCTAATAGTATGTCAAATACCCTGAGGTAATCTGCTTGAAGACTAGCCTCTTACTTAAATCAATGATTATACATTTGCAGAACTAGGCTGATTTTTTATATATGTATTTGTTTTTCTTCTGACACAAAATTGTATCAGTCATGATCAGTTTTATGTTACATACCAGAAGTTGTGGCATATATTGTTATAGTCTTCACGTTTTTTTGGGATGGTGTTCAGCATTTGGCAGTTGGTGTTCAATGGTTGGTGTCTGTAACTTATGGCAGGTGGTTATTGTTGGACCAACAGATATAAGAGCTTATGAACTTTGTATTAAAAAACATGGACACATGATACATGGGAATATGTCTCATATATTTGATTTGTTTGTTTAGAGTTTATCTGTAACCTAATGACCCTGAGATAAAAGTAATTTTCTGACAGCCTTAATAATAATATATATCTTTTATTGACTCTTCAATGTCATCACAATGACATTTAAAGGTCAGTACCATGTACAAACTACAAAAATATAAAATATTTACATACAAATTTTTATGAGACATAAGCTGCTGAAATATTATATCAGGATTGCCAATAAAATTAAATAGCCTAAGGGTATTGAACAAAAGTTTTCTTTCTTCTGTATTTTTTTATAACACATGAGAAAATAAAGGCTATGTTCAAAGTTATTATGAATTTGAAGAGTCTAGATAATAGATGAACTCAAGTTTTTCCAAAGGGTATTGTCCAAGTTGAGTGTTCTCTTAATGAAGTTATTATGATGAACATAACAAGCAGATTACTTTAGAGCCATAAATCATCTTTTTCATACTTTATCATAAATTTGAAGAGTATAGATGATGCATGAAATCAAGTTATTCCAAAGGGTATTGTCCAAGTTGAGTGTTCTCTTAATGAAGTTATTATGATGAACATAACAAGCAGATTACTTTAGAGCCATAAATCATCTTTTTCATACTTTATCATGATTTCTGTAATGAGATCTATATTAAGTGTAATTTCTAGGATCATGTCTTTGAGTGAAAGATTAGATGATTTTTTTTCAGAATCAAAATTGCGATATCTTAAAATCATTTTTCGAGTTCAGGGGACTTTTCATATTTTAGTAAATTATTCTACATATCTATACAGTGGAAGGGAAATACAACATCGTTCAATAAGTTCATGCAAAATTGCTCTCATTTCTTTATTTTTCAATGTCCTTAGTTGTGTAAATGCATTATCGGCCATTTAGAAAATATATATAACATGTATAAGAAATAAGCCTGAAATAATACTCCTCGATGGTGGTCTTATTAATGGAAACAATGTCCAGAATGGAAAGATACTTATGAATCAATTAAAACTATAATTGAGGATAAGTGGGGGTTAATAGGAAAAACCAATCATTTAAGTAACTCGATTGATTTCTCTATGTACGAGATTGCTACTCTTCTCTAAGAAATGTATATACTTGAAGGAACCTTGAGGTAATAATTAATTACAGTATGAACATTGAAATCTTGTGATATTATGAGTTCACAATTTTATTCTGAGTACAATATTGGACTACCACATTTGACTTAACACATGTGACATATTGTTTTAGTTTCCAACTTTTTTTGAACAGTGTTCAGCAGTTGGTGTTCGGTAATCAACGGTTGGTGTCTATAACAAATGGCACTTATGGTTTATTCATATTTACTTATAACATGAATATATAGATACATACTTGAACTCTTGATATTATATAATCTATCAGAAAAATTGAGATATTCCTAATGACAACTATATATAGTACGTAATATGTTAATAGGTGTTAAAAACAAAACAAAATGTTGAGATTTTAGTATATATAGAATACTTAGCTATTGCCCAAATCAGGTGTTTCATTCAGACTGTAAAGGGATGAATAGATTGATCCTCTATATCATGGGATTACTTCTACATTATCATACTTTCGCTCATTACTCTCAAACAAAAAATAAAACAAGATTGATGAGCCGATCCAGGCCCTAATGGACATGCTTGGCATAATCATCACATTACTGAAATATAAAATATGATGATGGTACCATTTTCTTTTTTGAATTTTGCAAAAAGTAGAGAATCTACAGAGAAATGAAGTTCACAGTTTGTAGTTAAGACCCTATATTGTATAAAAATAAAGAAAGATCAGACACTTTATTCATTTTTTTCCGAGATATTACAAGAGATGCAACAGACCAAATTGATATTTCTTAGATCGAGAAGTCATTACAATAGGTCATTATGGGAGCTATTACAGGGAGATTTGCAATATGTTTTTTCAGCAACATTTTTATGGCTTCTCCCTTTCCAAAAATAACCAAATGTCATTATTTGTTAAAGTTAAAAAAAGAACAGTTATCAAAAAGTAGAATCATCAAAGTGTAAATGAAAAAAGCTAACATCTTGACATACTATAACAGTATAACTCTATGAAATTACAATGAAATTTTAGAGAGAAGAACTTGTGCGGAAAGACATGACCAGAGTAAGGTTTTTACGACTTCAGGAAGCACTGATTTTCTCTTAATTCGTAAGGATGATGTGTTTACTTACTTGCTGTTTTATTGTAATTTGAAATCAGTGTGATGAATCTTTGATGTTCATTATAGAAACATTTCTGAAATTGAAGTATCAGTTTCCTTGATAATGTTCCGATATTTTTCACGAACATTTTTATTCAAGATATACTAATATTCAGTGGAATCATCAAGAAATATTCATAATAGAGCAGAGCATGTTTGTAATCATTATATCAGATGACACAAAAAAATTCTTCAGTTTCACAAAAAGGCGTTGTTTGTAATAAGGTAACTCTGTTAAATTTCTTTGTTCCTATTTTTACTTGAATTATATACATTCAGAGGCCAAGGAAACACAAGTTTGTTATTAAGGCAAAACAAATTAAAGAAGACTTATTGTAAGACATATTGACAAAAATAGAATGTTCTGATCATCAGAATAGGTGCAACTTCCTATTAGATAACATCAAAATATAATTTTTTGAACAATGTCTTATTTTAGATAAATTAAAGAAGACTTAGAATGTA